ATATATATATTATGCATTTAACTCTTTTGTCTATATACACCAACCCTCGAAGGTGTTCCGGTGTTTTCGTCTCCAGCTTCTCTAGCTTTTTTTTTTCGTGTGCAGCCATGTCGACCAAGCAAGGTAAAATTGTCGATCGATCTTCAAATCCTAATAATCGATCAGATACAAGAACCCCGTCTTTTAGGATTCCTTTTTTTATTTTCAGGTGGAAAGGCGAAACCGCTCAAGCAACCCAAAGCTGCAAAGAAGGAATACGACGAGGTAAAGAGAATAGGTTTACGGAGATATCCTGAAAATTTCTTTTTATGTGGTTGCATATGTTTTATTCCTACGTTGAACTTTACTTTTTTTGAAGATCCCTAAAATTTTCTTGTTCACTATGCACGGCGATGTGTTTTGTACATTATTCTTTGTTTTGAAGCATCTTAATGTAAGAGAGAATTCGAAAAGGTTAAAAATGGCACTTGAAAGAAGAGATAGATCGGGAGTTTGTGAATTTCATAGATAGGAAGCTAATTATGACCTTAAAAGGCTTTCATTCATATAGATTTCACTAAAACTGAAGAATGTTTGCTTCTACTGCTTATGCTTCTCGTAAATTAAGCTCTAAGGTGGCCGATTCGAATTTGGACTGTATAAACTTTTAGATGATCGGTAACATCAGCATAGTGTTGTTCTGTGGCTCGTTTTGAACATCTCTCTTATGCTTATACTTTTAGATAGATTTAGGTAAAACTTTGCAAGGTGGATATAGTGTAGAATCATGCCATTTTAATAAAAGAAAATTGATAGGTTCTATGGGAAAAGCACAAGAGGAGGATTAACTCATTATAAACATCTGGTTGGCTGTTAGGCAAGTGCTATTGTTTGTGGGCCTTTAATATTTGAATTATGAAATTCAAAAGTGTCAGAACAAGGAGTTGGAAGATGAAATTCATGAAATGCTACGCATTTATATTGATGAAAGATATTATCTTGACATGATGTTGGATGATTATATTTTATCTTTGCTACCTTCAAAAAGATATCATTACTCAAAATTAAGTTATTCGAGTCAAAATTCAACAGCTATTTTTATGCTTGATAAAAAAAGACTAAATGACCACTATATGCAATATTTACTCTCATCCTCCTTGAAGCAATAAAGTAGCAAAGAAATTTAACATGAAAAAAAAAGAATGTTTGATATTGATCCTTGCATTCAATACAGCTAAGTATGAGAATTTTTTCCATTATTGGAGCCATTTGGATAGTTATGATGAAAATAATAGTTACAATACAGAACAATTGTTGCAACGCCATAAAGAAGAAGTTAAATATGAATTTTTTTTTTAAATAGCTGCTGGTTAGACATTTTGTAATAGAAAAAAGCAGTGAACTTTTTGGTTAATTTTACATGCACGATCACATAAAATAGAGTCGGTAGATAGTTGTTCTCATTAGAAGAATTTAATAAAGATGTATAAATTGTTAAGCAAGTATATATAAGTGAGAGCACATTATATTATTTAATTGGTAATCGATTATACCCCAAAGAATGTTTCTTTGGTAGGATAGTGACGATATTTATACTGCATTAAAATGTTTTTGGGTAAGCGTATACTCTTATTTATTAGACTCCATTTGCTGCTAATTATGTGGGTATGAAAGAATCGTTAAGATAAAAAAACCATGTTGCTTTAAGATCATGGCAACTGGCTATTAGAAGGAGATTCCTTAAGAAATTAACATGAAAAAACATGAGACCTACATTCAAATTAAGATCCCTTGTAAAATGAACAGACGAACAAGGCGATGCTACAGATTGTGGGCCGTTCCTCAAACTTAAAACGCTAGTTGCAGGATTTTTATAGCTCTATATCATAAGTTGATAAGTAGGTTAACTAATAGAAACCAGATCATCATGGCTGTTGAAAATACGCAATTCATGCACATATATATATCAATTTGCATTCAGCTTTCAACTCTTCATATCTATGCTTTCAATGATTGTTTGAAGATTGCACTGCAATTTCTCCAAGTAAGTTGGACACAATTTGTGATTTTGGGGTTTAACTCGATGTGTACTGTGGCATTAGCTGAACTGAAGTTAAACATTGGCCTTAAGAATTCCTAGCCAAGCTATGAATCAGTTGAGCTTCATGCTTGAAAGTGTGGGGCATGCGGACCAATGGGGGACCAAAGTCAACTTACCTTTAAATGTTCTGTATAATATTGATTTTTTAGGAAGATTTTATATTTGTATATTTTATTATTAGTATTTTCTATTTCTAGAAGTTGGAATTATTGATATGTTATAGTTTCTGTTTACTTCTTTTAGCATATAGAGTTATAGCTAATTTTTTGTTTTCTTAATATGAGAGTCATTCTCCTCTGTTTATCTTATAATCATTTTTTATGTAATTGAAGACGAATAATTTTCTCCCAAAAAAACCTACATGTTATCAGAGCATTGTATATCACTGAATCCCGTTTATCATTTTGCTTGCGATGCTTGTCACGATCGACGCTCCACTAGGTTACGCACAGCTACCCGGAATGTCACGCTTGTTACGCTCGACTGCCCCGCTCGACTGCCTCTCGCCTTCACATCAGATCCAAATTGTTTGCGCTCGACTGCTCCTCGCCTTCACTTGCGTCAAATCCTTATTGTTGACATCATGGTGTTCGAAACCGATGCATACCCAATCGGTTCCAAAATGACTTTGTTCTTCCCTCGAGATAACTGCTACAAGCATACTTCTTTTCTTAGATTATTAAAATGTTGTATAAGTCAACAATGATGAGCGGGGCACAAAGAAACTCTACTATATCTACCCGTTCCAGTAATTCAAAAACTATATCACCTCACCCTACTGCCCCCCTCGTGACTGTATGAGCTAAGTATTATCCCCAAAACACAGCATCTTATCTACCAGTGATAAAACTCAACAGGCACAACTGCATCTAATGGTCTCAATCCATAAAATTTACAATCGACGTGAGAGACAAAATTTGGTATTTAACAGGAGAGCTTCAAACACTACAGTAGACATTTCGACTCTGACAAAATTATAATCCAAAAATTCATTGGCTATGGCATGGCCCATCAACTCCGTGAAACCTATCATAGAAAAGTCACATCTATTATTTTCCACTACTCTAGATATTTGGGAGGCTATTCGAGATCATCTATTGCTTTATGTTTGTACATATTGTTTAAAGCTTGCAGAGCATATATTTTTTTAATTCAACCCATAATTTTTTTTTAATTCAACCCATAGTTTCTTGGAATCAATAATTTTTCCTTTATAACTTAATTTTAGATATCTTCGCTCTTCATTCATCTAAGTTGAACCAGAACTTTTTATCTCGGCTGTTTTATTTCTAGGGTATATATATATATATATATATATTTTTCTATTAGATAGTTGTTGTACTTATTACTGTAAGATATATAGATCATATATATATATATATATATATATAGCAAAAGGAGCTTAGCGCATGCGAAATCAGTGTTTGGGCCTCTGCCAAATACCAGTTCCCTTTTATATATATATATATATATATATATATGTTTCTTTGATCTTTTGATCTTAATATCTAGAAAAATATTCAAATAATCAAATGCTATAGCTTCGATTTTGGCTGCATACTTTTTTCTTAATTTCATCGTTGTAAGTTTATATATATGGAACTACGACTCTCATGCCTCCTGGAATATTCATAATCTCAATTCTCTCAATTTGTCCTTCGTATATTTCAGGATGACGTTGCTCATCTCCAGAAGAAGAAAGATGAGGAGAAGGTATGTTCTTATATGAAGTTTTTGATGATTTAAATGACTTGGGTTCTAAAGGATTGAAAACTCTTAACTTAAAATTTAAAAAAACTCCATATTCTGTCTGCTTCTTTTTTTTTTTTTTGTTTTGTTTGTGCGCACGCGCGTGTGTTGAAATAGGCACTGAAGGAGTTGAAGGCCAAGGCTTCTCAGAAGGGTACTTTTGGAGGGTCTGGACTCAAGAAGAGCAGCGGGAAGAAATAGCAATTGCTGTTATATGCTCAAATCAGCCTTCTGAATCACTTACTTTTAATATGTTTGGTCTAAAGCTTTATTATTGTAATGCTTGCTACTTTTTCTTGTTAGCTGTGCTCGTATTGATGATTATTGAGGATGGAGTGCATGCTTTATCTGTTTGTTTAATTGCCGCCTTATAAATTAATAGGAAATCTTGGACTGAGAAACCAGTTTTTCACCTTTGATAATGTAACTGCACTCTATTCAATTAATTTTCTGAATTATTCGTTTTTTTTCACGGGTTTTTTAGTGTTTATTTTATTTATATGAAAGGCATTTTCATACATATCACTCAATTAATTTGTTTTTACATATCTATTGCAAACATTACTTATTATATTTGTACCACCCAAAATTTTCATTTCACATCAAAATACCATCATTTTAACTTTTAAAAAAGTGAAATATACATTTTGATGCACAGGTAAGGTAGGTAGTTTGTATGTAATAATTAACTTTTTAGAGTTGGATATGTAAATACATATAAATTGAGTTGTATTTATGCGAACATTTCTTTATTTTATGGGTTAGAGTCCTTTTTGTGATATCTTTTCAAAGCGGCTAGTCTTTGCTTGCTATCAAACTGTCAGTGGGATCCTAGCACTCCTTATTTTTCATTGAATTGTAAATTAGGAAGTATTGAAGGGCACATTGGTTGCCTGTAAATAGTTATTTTTTTATAGAAAATGTTTTATTTTTATTTATTTTGAGGGAGCTTGACATTAATATTTTTATTTTGAATTTTAACATGTAAGTAACATAATGAGCCTTATTCAAAAATTATTTTGTTGTTTATGTTGTTTTTATGTGGCGTACGTACTTAATGATGTCTTGTCAAGTTCGAAGCAGACATCTGGTTCTAGAAAAATTATTTCATACGGATCGGACACCGAACGCAGCTTGCGTGCGGTGTCCGATCCGGACCGTAAATCACTTGATCTACGGTCCCGATGTATTTCAGTGGGTCCCACTTAAATTTTTTTTTTTAAAAAATGAAAATAATCCTAACCGTAGATCACCGTGATCTACGGTCAGGATCGGACACCGCATGCATGCAATAATTACTCCTGGTTCCAATATATTTGTTTAAGTGGCAATTCAATTACATTATTAAAAACAAATGAGACGTGTGAAATACATTCAAAATATTTGTGATAGTCTTTTTATGTTAAATCAATAAATCCATTAAGTTGTAAATTATTTTTTAAATTCATCTCTAATACTAGTCTTTCAAAAGTTTTTGGTAATGGGCAACCGCTATCATTTCATCTAAGTAAACTCATTTTTAAAAAAAGTTTGAATGATTTTGATCTTTTCTGAATTTATGAAACTTTTCGTTGGAAGTGATTTCAATTAGAATGAATAATAACTTCAGTCTTATATTTAGGATTCTTAGCATTAAAGTTTAATTATGTTGGTTGCCACAGGTGAAAATCCTCTCCTTTAATTAGGTATGTTGTACGCTTAAATGCATGGGTGCATTTAAGTTATCATATAAATTAATAAAAATCCATTCAATTTTATTTGAGAATTTTATGACTCATAATAGTATTATTTTGATGGGTATATATATATATATGTTATATATATATATATATATATTACTTTTCAAGAGAAATGTCTTAAGGAAGTAGTATTTCTTTGAGGCTTTTGAAACATGTTTCTGCCCTTGCTGGTTTTAAATTACATGAGTACTGCACAATTGGATTGCTAAACAAAGGTTTTGAACCGCAATTTAGAACATTATTTATGGGCATAAACAACTAAGTAATTCAAACAAAAAATCAGCTATAAAATTCTGCAACCTTTCCATATCAACAAGGTGATTATCCTGGTGGCTTATAAAGTTGAATTGTCAGTTGAGATTTATATTCATCCTATTTTCACATCTTATTGTTAATTCTCTTCAACTTACTATATGCGGTAACTTGTCAACCTTGAGACCCATTTTGCTGCAGCTAGTTTAGCTAATTTTTAGAGAACATATCAGACATGAAAAAAATTTTCGGGTGCAAAAAGGGAGTGAATTCAACATAACAGTTCAATAATTTTATATGAACTCTAGTTAAGAAATCTATATAATTTACTGTTATTTGTATTCTGCTTTCCACCATGAGGGGAAAAAATATTACATCAGTACTGTGCATGTAAAAATAACGTGTGTAGCCAATCAAATCACGCCACAATATCTCGCGCGACAGAGCAAAAAAAACGGCGCAGTAACACGGGGAATATTCCCCCCTGTGTTATTCAAGTGTTATTGTGTGTTATTCATGTGTTATTCCGTATTATTCATGTGTTATTGTGTTATTATAACACCAAGAATATTCTCAGGACACAATAACACATGAATAACACACAATAACACAAGAATAACACGGGAGAGAATATTCCCCCGTATTACTGCGCTGCTTTTTCTCTGTCGGGAATATTACCCGATGGTATTGATAGTTTTTTTGTGGTTATTCATGTGTTATTTTGTCCTGGGAATATTCCTAGTGTTATAATAACACAATAACACATGAATAACACACAATAACACATGAATAACACGAGGGGGAATATTCCCCTTGTTACTGCGTCGTTTTTTTTTTGTATCTTGCGGGGTATCGTGGCGTGATTTCATTGGCTACGCACGTTACTCTACGTGCGTACTACTGATATAATATTTTTTCCCATGAGGGGGGTAACATGAGATTCCTTAAGACTTTTGGTTCAAACAATTTTATAAGAATATGGTAATACATGGTTGGAGGCTGAAGAAACATTGACCAGACTTATAGTCATGCTCCAACTTGGTTAAAGGATTTCCTGAAATAATTATTATCAGATTCGTTGGGATGTGCAATTTCTTTTTTTATATTTGTTATAACTGAAGTGTCAGAATCTGATTTGTCCGTGGATCTACAAGACAAAGGCAAAGGTAAAAACGGTTGGCTTTCAAGTCGAAGGGAAGATCATGATAGCATGATTAACTGATCACATATAAATATCATATTTCACATTTATTCTCTAGATTCTATAGAACATATGTCTGGCCTTTGCTTTATAAAAAGGATTTTCTTGAAAAGAAAACTAGGGCTTCTGGCAATGGAAAGTCTTCACTGAGGGTAAGGTCAAGCAATTGCAAAACGAGTATGGGATCACCATTCAGAACTCAATATGGTAATATCAATGCACTATAACCATGAATACAGATGGGACCCTCTAACAATTGTGGTCTCTAATATGATGAATTTATCCCCTTTTCTTTGATACCATCTTTATTTACAAGTATGTTGGTTTATGCCTCATGATATTTACATAATGTCATTATTGCACCCATATTCCAAGAAAAATTATTTCTAACTTTTTTGTTGTCTTTTACGTGGGAATTATAATACTCATCTGATAATCCCTTACCTTAATTTCCAAGTCTTCCGAAAACACTTATGCTCAGGTAGAACTTATGGCGGATCATCCTTGGCAATGTTTCTATCAAATCAATCAGTGTTATTGTGGGTTAGCGAGTTGGTGATTTTGCTCAATAGGGTTAGGGGAGCATAGTATTGAATTCACCATACTCACGTTATCAGGAGTGTTTCTCAGATAGGTTGATTGAATCACCTTAATCACTTGCTATTTGACTTCGAGAGATTTGCTCATGCTAATCCCTTGGTTGGGTTACTCGGTTGAATCAATCTAACCAATTTGTTATATTAACTTGGGGAACTACCTAATTTCGCATCTTTGACTTTTCCCAAGCAAATTTGATTGTACATATTTAATTTATCGATTCTATTATCTTTTGGATTATTGACCTACGAAAAAGAATAAAAGAATGCTAATAATTATTTTTTATTAAAATTTATAATGATGTAAATTAATTAAATTAATAAATCTCGAATCACTACTTTGAAGTTTGTGCTACCTTTTCTTTTCTTCTATAGCTAGATTGAAAGAGTTGGTTGGATTGATGTGTTGTTCTTTTGGATCGCGCATCCTCTGCAGTTATAATGGAGAACATTTCAGAGGAACAAATTAACATTATGATGATTATTTTCGTTCGTTTTTCTCTCTTTTATTTTAAAAGGAGTCGCCAGCTTGTCGATCGTCGTATACTTCCCCCATTCGAATAAATTTCCCTTCCGAACCAGATATGTGATTCAAAAAGAAGAGGAATCGAATAAAAAGGGACATACGACAAAACGACAAACAAGAGAAAACACAAAACGTGGAGAGCCTACGTGCGGTAAACCTCGCAAGGATAGGTTAAGAGTGTCCGTCCAAAGCGAAAGCACCTTAAACTAATATCCGCAAAAGAATGCCTACGTAAACTACCTAAAACTAGAGAGTCAGGTGTAGGTGCCTGTTCTACGGTCAAGAGCACTCCCAACTGGACGTATCCCACTTGGTTAATTACATCTTGGGGGGTACCCAAGAATACTCTCGATAAAATGAGTTTTGCCTGGATTATTGTGAACCTGTGGCAATAGGTACTAAAAGGAAGGTTATTTCATGTGGGAACAGTCCCGATGCTTCAAAGCTCGCGCTAAGTCATCGGGCAGAGAGTGAGTCTCTCACATCCCGAATGGGTAGCGACTCATCGACACATGGGGCCCACAAAATAACCTGAATCATCTTGACGGGGATATCCCAACACGTCAAAGCACGTCCAGGCCATAAGGGCAGAAGACAAATCGTCGTATCCCAAATGGGCGGCAGCTCATCGGCATCGAGCCGTCAAAATGATATCAACGAAGTCAAGGAGCGACAGGGCTCAAAGGGGCTCAACAAAAAAGAAGGTAGAGTGACCCTAAAAGGTAAAAGTAACTGGTTCGGGGTACCACGGACCCGTCATCCACAGTTAATATGACCCTAAGTCTATCTGGTCGTGAAG